GAACGGTGTCTCTCGGCATTGAATGCTCTCCCCGTACTTCTTCAGTCTGTTCGCTACGCAAATACCCCGGGAGCCAAGTGAGATGAAGAACAGGGCATCAGGATGGGAGGGAGGTACGCCAACCACCTGCAATGCACCGGTGACACACCTTGCTGCCCGAAACCAGGAGGGCTTAAACACACTTGCGATTTTGAAGATCGAAGAGCGTCTTTGAAAGAACCCTCTCCACCGGGCCCAGAGGCAGCATCAGGGTAAGTGAAGAAAAGTCCTGCCAAGACGTCCTCCGACTTCGATCCACCGTCAACACCCGTGGGAGCAGCAGCCAAGAAATCCAGGAGTGCCCCGCACTGGGGACCTCTGCTGCAAAAAACCTTCCTGAGGGGTTTACCAGCAAAGATGCCACCTTGGGGGCTAGGGTGCTCATGGCCTCGCCCCTCCCGTCCATTCGCCTCGTATGTGAACGCTGGAAAGTAAACCAGAAGACCAAAGAAAGAGCGGCGCCTCTGAATGCAGGTACTGGAGCAGGATACTGACCGCCCACAGACGGCCAGAACACACCTGTCCTGGAGGAAGCACCATCAGAGTGCTCCTCCTCTGCCAGGGTGGCGAGGCTGGCCTCACAAAAGGCACGTGTTCTCCAGAAGGGACCAGTCCCTAGAGGCCACAGCGCCATGTCGTCGAGGGGGAGAGAAAAAGAGGAAGACCCTCAGGGAGATGGGCTCAACTCTAAGGGTGGAGGTGAGGATGGCACAGCACCTGACAGTCCTTCCTTCTGTCGTCACTGGGAGTCGGAACCACCCCAGCAGCCCCGAAGGACAACAGGGCCACACGGCGGTCAGTGATGACCTCAAAACAATGCCCAGGGTTCCCTGTCCCTACCCAGTGTCACTTCACACTCTCCGCCTTCCTCCAGGTGTCACTTTCCACTCTTTCATGCTAATGAGCAAGCGTGTCACAACTGGATCTAGGGAAATGGTACTTGGCTCTCCTGGCTCTGTGGGAGCCCGTCAGAATCCCTCCAGGGGAGATCATGGGGTCCTAGGCCACAACATGCAGAGCCCTCACGTTGACCTGCTACCAAAGTCTTTCAATGTGTTCATGCACTTGTTACTTACTCTGTTCTAGACAGGGGCCTATTAAGTACATCTGGTCCTTGTCATCTTACCATCTGAGAAAGAGCCCTGGAGGTGTCATGGTTAAGAGCATGCTGGGCATCCTTGGGCTGGTAGCCAGAGAGGGAAAATAGACATGAGAAACCAATAGCAACACACAGCCAAAGATTTGTCACCTCAGATCAGTGTTCACTAACCAGGTTATAAAGGAAAAAAAAATTTTGGGGGAGCTCAAATCAAAGTATTTGTTGATTAGCACTTTCGTGCTAGATTTCAACAGAGGAAATAAATCCCTGCAGCATTTTATAACCCCTGCATTTCTCAACCCATTCAGGTCATCATTCCACGTGTCTGCCTCTCCTGCATTGGCCAGCTGTCCACAGCCATGGCAGTCTCTCATCCAAACACTCTCAGGCCAGAACCCAATCTCCCCAGACCAAACAGGTGCTCCCATGGCCCTGCCCACCCACCGCAAGCAGTCTAATCATTAACTGCCCTCTAGATTAAGCAGAAGCATCAAAAAAGAACCGACACACACAGCACCTGCCCGGCATGTTAGAAACGCCCACCTATGACCTTGCCCCGGGCGTGGGCAGTGAAGTGCCTGGGCCACGGGAGTGACCCGGCTACCAGATCCCAACGTTCCGCACGGGCCTCAAAGGTTAGTTCTAGGCAGAGCTCGGGCTGCCGAGTCAGAACCACTACAGCAATGACACTGCCACACAGCAGATGGACCACACATCTTGTTTTTCAATGAAGTTCTTCCAGGACCACTCGACAGCAAAGGATGCTGAATAAGGTTTTACACTTGCTCTGGAATCAAAGGGTCCAGAAAGAGTAATTACAGAAATCTCGAGGTGTCTCTGAGTTCTAGAAAAAGGTTCACAATTAAACTTCACTTCTGCAGTCAGGTCACCTACTCTCTTTTTCTGTCAACAACCGGTCGTTGTTCTTAGCGCCCCTCCCACCGTGGTAAAAACTTAGCATGCATTTGCAACAGCCAGACCGCATCCTTTATATCCTACACATTTTCCGAGGGGACTAGCACCACTTGAAGAAGAGTAGAGCCCTAACAAATCCCATTCCCAGCGTCTAGTGGCTCAACATCTCCCAGGTAACCAAGCTCCCCGGAGGCCTTCGTCCAATTTAACAACTATGTGTACAGGGCAATTCATTTTGTTCTAAATACAAAATAGATCACAAACGCGCTTTCCTGAGGAAATTGCCCTGCCACAACAAAGCGGTGCCACTGGCGATGGCACGTCGTGCTCCTCTTGTTTGATTTACTCCAAAATGCTGGTTATCGGCCAGATGGAAATCATAAGAAGATTGGACTTTTTTAATATAAGAAAGTGTTTAGCATTCAAAATGCCTGCTTGCTTAATGGTCCTCTGCTTTGCGGCCTGCACTCATTCACTGAACGTGGACATGGCATGAAGCTGCAGGAGGGAAAGGACAGGTCCTGTGACTCACCGTGGGGCAAAATGGCAGCCAAGCCCTGTCTGCTAACACCTGCTGGCACTTTAAACACTGACTTGGGAAAATTCATGATTCATCTCTCAAGCCTAATCGTTTGCAAATACATCTACGGCATATTCCAAAAGTGGGGAGGGATCTATTCATGCCACGCCTGTGAACCACAGAGCCAAACTCTAAAAGAATTCTCTCAGGTCAGAATTCCAAGTCATTGTAGACCATCCAAACCCTAAGAACCGTTAAGGACTAGGGTGGCCACATCTCCGGAAACACCTTGAAAGCAAACAGACCCTACAGAAGCAACAAGACTAAGGACAGGCAAAACGTTTCTCAAAGGAAAACTCAGAGTTCTAGAGAAGCAAGTCACAAATTCCTTTCCATGTATAATTGCAAGTTCTCATTTCGCATCTAGCTCTGAAAAATCTGGAAGTCAGAAATCTAAAAAGAAGCTACAATAAGAAATATTTTAAGAGGGTGAATCAGTGATAGAGTAACTCATCAATTACTACTCTCTTCTTGTGAGGCACTTGGGCATTTGGTTCATGGCTAGTCAACAGACCAACAATCCCAGAAAGGCAGCAGCTCTTCACAAAAGAAACAAGTGCAGCTTTGCCCGTCGTCCCTCCCACAGGCCTTAGATCGTACCCAACTTTCTATCACAAAGATGTGCCGGAGATTTTTTTAAAAGCACAAGCCTTTGGGAGGCTTTTGTTTTATTGCCAAAGGAAGAATTTACTTTCAACAGAGAGCTCCTCTCCTTTAGCAGTAGAAGGGCACCAAGGTGTATTAAAAAGCACCTGGGAAAGAAAAGCAAATTGTTGCAGCGCTGCTCTTTTAAAAAGTCACCTTTTTTTTTTAATTCACTTTTCTCGAGCTCTAAAACAAAAAGTATCCAATGTTGAGTAAACACACACACACACACGACATAATTTTAGTTACCTTTTCTTTGTGTAAAAAGTCATGTAAATGTCCAGCATTTATGAATCAAGTTCACTGCTGCCATTTAGTGCTTTAATTCACTGAACTTGAAAAAAAATCAATTTTCATATGTTCCTTTTCAGCAAATGTGAGATTTTAAGAAATTTGTTCATCTACTGGCACTTTAAACACTGACTTGGGAAAATTCGTGATTCATTTCTCAAGCCTAATTGTTTGCAAATACATCTACAGTATATTCCAAAGGGGGGTGGGGTGTGGATCTATTCATGCCACACCTGTGAACCGCTAAGGCAAACTCTAGGAATTCTCTCAGGTCAGAATTCCAAGTCATTGTAGGCCATCCAAACCCTCAGAATCATTACAGAGTAAGGACTAGGGTGGCCACATCTCCTGGCTTACATCTGATGTCCTTCAGTGTAATCATCAATATTGCTCCCTTTCCCCCTCGAAGGGTTCTGGTTGAAGGCTGAAGGGCGGTAAAAGAAGTGAGGATGGTGGTTGCCTTGGGAGAGAGGAGATGCAAAGGGCACCCTTTGCAGAGGTGGGAATGCTGGCTCGTCCTGATCTGAGCATGGTTATGAAGAGAATCTACTGCGCGTACAGAAGGGTGAGCCTAGATCTCACTAGAAGTTACACGTCAGTAAGAAGTAAATGTAATTTCTAAAGCACGTGCAAACACATTTTAAGTGTCTTTGTTCGGATAAGTTATATAATCATCCTGGATGTAGCTGAGGTTTTTTTCCCCTAAATGTATTTGAAGAGCACATCTATGTAGAAACTTGAAACACGGAATTGTGGTTTTGTTTGTTTTTTTATCCTTAAAAAATAATAACGTTCAAATAATAATAACTGTTGCCAGTTTTTATAACTGAAAATCCACTTAAGATGATGTAGTCACCCCAATTTTGGCAACAGAAAAGCATTTCTCTAAGGGGTAAGGGAAGTGCCCACAAGAAGGTAGCGGGACAGTAGCAAGGGCAGTCAGGACAAAGCTGCTTCCAGATTTCGGGCCCCTCCCTTCCCACAAGGTGGTCACTTCTCTGATGCTGCAAACAAATCAGAGCTCTGACTCCACCCGTGGCCTGTAAAGGGTCAATGCCTTCCGCGAAACACCAGTCAGCAGGCCCCGAAGTGTGTCCTCCCACATCTCCCTTCATCCTCTCAAGACCGCTGGTTAATTAACCAGGGCGTTTTCAGGCATTTTGCTCCAAAAACTAAGTGAACAAGAAATTAAAAAGTGTAGCTAGCATCTTTAAAAAGTGGCTCAAGAGGCAAAGCCGCAGGCTGGGTTTGCGCAAATCCGGCTCGTTTCCTCTCCGATCTCTCGTGGTTACGTGGGTCTCAACATAGAGCCGGCTGAGCAGGGCGCGCATCTCTCGGGGCCACTGGCCGCTGGGACAAGCCGCGACCCCTTAGTAACTCGGCCTTTTGACTGGAGTGTCTCGCCCTCCCCTTCCTTGGAAATGACCAGACCTGTAGTGACCGCGCGCCACGGTGCGGTCAGCCCCCTGGGAGCGCGGCGTCTGGTGGAAACTTCAGGCACCCTCCCTCTCCGCGGCGACGTCCTCCTGCCCGCCCCGGCTGTCCGCTGCCCACAGCGCAGGCCCGGCTCCCGGCTCCCGGCTC